GTGAATTGGCAATAAGTAATTAATATTCATCCCCAGAATTCAAAATGACAGCATACATTTAAAACACAATCTAATGCTCTCTTGTATACTATAGAAGTATACAAAGTAACACTGAGCAAATCTGCAATAGTATCTGTGAAGGACTGATACAGTATGTAATTACCTTTTAATCAATAACAAATTATTAATACAAACATCATAGGTGTCACTTATAAGGGACGTATTAGGAGATTATAAGTAATAAACTACCAGATCAATAATCTTAAAAGACTTACAAATCATAAAAAATGTCAAATGTAGTGCACCACATATAATTGTGATTAAACCTAATATCTTCTAACCATAAGTTATTATTTTCATTTTAACTTAGAAACCATTTTTAGCTAAACAAAAAGCTGTATTGGTTAACTTTTTTAATAAAAAAGGAACTCTCCAAACTTTATGTTACTTTTATGTACTGTATATTCCTTTCATGTTACACGCATTTTCTTCCTTGAGAGATAGAATCGACACATAGTCATATGTTTTAAATAAAACCATCCTAATCAACAAAAATATGAAGGTGATCCAAAAGTTTTGAAACATGGAAAAACTGAAAGCTTTTTTTTATTTTTCAATGAGCTTTTTTTAAACGCTCATTGAAAAAAAACTCAGCGTTGTAGTTCTCTAAATACCGCGCAGTCTAAATCGGTCTGAAACACTGTGTTTCTGCTGGGGTGGCACATTCCCCTGGAATGTCTATAAACGCGTCTCAGTGTATTTCTTCTTCAGTTTTGCGAGGATGCTTGTACAGTTACAAGCGACTGTTAAAAAGCTTGGAAATTGCTGCCAAGAATTGCAGTCTCCTTTGGCTTCCATCCTGGGTTTTACAATGCTGCATGTCTGCTTTTAATCAAAACCAAATGGTAAGTCCAGTTCCCAGCTCGAGAGACACTCGGAGCGACTTGGAGGAAGTTGTGCTGTAAGGGAAGAAGAAAGAAGAAAAGATAAACAGATGATACTTGAAGCGAAGCCGAGCAGACAGCAAGGATGTGAAAGATGTGGGCTGTCCCAAAGACATGATTCAGACTCCTTGTCGAGCCAGGAGGAACAGCGCTCCTACAAGTGCACAGTGTCAGCAAAACTTTAATGTGCTCAAGATGGAGACTGTCCTTCAGTTTTCACAGTGCGGGATTTGTGTGGCTCTGGAGACTTTTCAGGAAAGGTAACGACAGCGGTACCCTTAAACTTTGGAAATGTTTAACCTGGATGGGGAAGACATATTACAATTTTAATTTAAGGGAAGTTATGTTTTTCTTTTATCTTTGACAGAGACATTGCCTGATAACAAGCACTCCGTAAATAAACCTGGAGATGACAGAAAATAAAACCCATTGACTTGGTGACGAATTGCTCTTTCATTCTTAATGCAGTATGAAAATGAATCCATGAAGAACACTGGGAACTCTGTTGAAATTCACAATTTTTGAAATATTTCTCAGTTGTCTTAATAAGGTGTAATTTACTGTGTGGTGGAGTTTAATCTAGAGTTATTTTCTCCCGTCCATCAGACCAATCAGCACTGAAACATCTAAGATATGTTAGATATCTGTAGATCACTGCGTAAAACACTGCTGACTGCATGTTGATCTTTTAAATTCTGGTCATTATGCCCTTTGCCATTCAGACATGAACATGCTGTTTAAAGGCAGGAAATTCTTCCAGGCAATCTGGGGCTAGGCAGAGTTGGCCCCCTTTCTACAAGCCATTACTCTTCGAGTCTGTAGGCAGGAGTCACAGAAAATTGACAGAATCCCGTGTGCCTGAGTTTCCCTCCAGCAGCAGAGCTTGTTTTTACACAGATACCAGCAGTACAGAGCTGCCTTCAAACAGATCACTCTGCTACGGCAATTAAGGATATGTGGACTTCTAAAACCCTCACTTTCACAGTACTAATGGTAATTGCTGAAGTTTGTTCTAAGGTAACAAAATAATCCATGCTTTTCTCTTGAGAGTAAGGTAAGTGACTTCTACATATCTATTATTGTCTGAAAAAGAGCAAACAGGCTCTTTAATGAACAATGTGGATACTGGTTTTCAGTTAGAAGGATGATTCTTGTTTGGTGCAAATGTTAGTGGAGTTACAAAACAAATGTTACTACCTCCGTTCAAGACATTAACTGACTGTGAAGTTAGACAGCAATTGCAGGCAATGGATTAGCTAAAGGCACATTGTGAATAAGATGTTTTGATATTATTTACAGAGCAATTTCTGTAACAACTGTCAACTAATCAATCATAGTAAAAAGCATAAACTGTAGTTACTAGGTAATTCAACACTTGTGGAATGATTTTAAATCATCCACAGACAGCACATTTTTTAACTGCTTTGTATGTGCCTGTATCTTTTGTAACGTTTTGCTTCTAAAAAATATTTTTCAGCTATTAAACAATGTTTTGAAGATTTTCACACTGTTAAAAAGTCCCTAATAGTTCATGACGCATTAATCAAATTAGCTTCTTTAAAACATGAGTTTTTCTTTCTGACTTCAAACTTATTATATTCAAGGTGAATAAATCAACATGCTTGATGGTTCTTTGCTAATTGAAGACCCCTTTACTGTGAGTCTGAACCTTTGCGTACTATGGAAACATTTGATCTTCACATTTCTTAGATTCTGTTGGAATTTGATGTCATCTGATGAACACTGAAATGTTTGAAACTACAGTAAACCATGTCTTATCCATGTTTACTAATCTTTTTCAGCATAGCATGTGTGCAGCTAAATTTAGCCTCAGTGTCTTATTTTGCATTGTTGTATTGAAATATCTCAGTACGAAATACAGTACCTACAGTACCTGCACTATAGCATGATGCTTTCAGCTTTATGATGCCACCAACGCCACTAGGAATAAGCGGTGTTTGAAAAATCTTTGCGTAATACTTCAAACTACTGGCCGTTTCAAAAAGAGTTTATTCTCAAACTCTGCGTTAAAATGTTGATTGTGTTGCTGTTTAATTTAAATACCTAGAAGCAAGAGATCATGAATCGTAAGGGAACTGAACACTATTCATCTTGTAAGGAATTTTGTTAGCAGTAGGAGACAGTGATCTCTTATGGCCTGTAGAACAGACTATAGACTTTTATATGATACAGGATGTCTATTTTCCTGCATACTGTATATATATATAAAACACAGTGAGACATTAATGACTCAGGACTTTACATCATGGAAGCTTTTTTAATTGGGTCCAGTACTCATTGGTTGCATGTTTCATGCCATTCTGATAATAAAGCACAGTATTCAAGACGATGCATGAAATATATTATATATGAGATTTTGTTTTTTTACCTGTAAACCCTTTCCTGTAGTATTCTCATTCTTACTGTAAGATTTTTGTACGGTTCGTGCAATTTATAAACATATAATGTGGTCTTAAATTTAAGTTCATCTTGTATTATTAGTTACAATTCTCAATACTAATAAAAAATGTGCATAATTAGTTTATACTATAGAAAAATGTTAAATATGTGGTAAAAGCCAAGCCTTTGTGCAGGACATAATTGCCTAATACTCCACTACAACAGGCATAAATTAAGTCAACTTTTGCTTTATGAAAGTATTTTTTGATTGGATTTCCACCTTGGCAGAAGTGAGAGATGTGTGTGCTCCTTGCACATGCAGTATTTCACTTATTTCTTCCTTTCCATGATCCTGTAGGCTTATTTCAAAAGTATACCCATATATCTGCCCATTAAAGAATACAGTTCTAGAGTTCAACTTTCAAGACTTTGGAGTTTGAAAAAAGCTCACAATTGACAGTAAATATTGACGTAACGAATTCTAGTTCAGCTCTAGTCTTCTATCAGTCCATTTCACAAGGCCAAGAGTCAGGGCAACCTGGAGTCCAGAATCCCACATTCCCAGAATCCCACATTCCCAGAATCCCAGATTCCCACATTCCACGATTCTCAGAATCCCAGAGGCATACAGTAGGGTGCAAAACAGCATTAGCCCACTGGATCATGGAACTGCTATAATCTCATGGCTTTACTCTCATAGAAATGTTTTCCATTTCTGAAGCTATTTAATCAACCTGTCTGTGGCATTTCTGTTGAGTCCTAATTCATTCTGTTTTCCAAACACCAAGAAAGTGCTTTTTTAAAATTCACAGAATATTCACTGCAGTGAATAAATTCTGTTTCCTCTGTTACAGGCAACCTTCAAAATAAGGTTTCTGGATGCATCTCTGACTGGATCTTGTTAGCGCTCTATGGAATATAACAGGTCACCTGTGACTGCTCATGCCATGCCTGTGACAACCAGGAAGAAAAGCTGGGAGGAGCATGTGACCAGTAGGACAGGATTACAGTACAGTTTTGACGATCTGGATATAATATGTTGCCATGGAATTGCAGCTGATGGGTTAAAGTCAATAATGGAAAAGACCGATGTGTCGAAATCGGGCCGCAGAGAAAGATGCGCCTCTTTGCCGGAGGGCTGTCATGAGCTGCTTGTGGAAGGGCTCTCGTTCAAGCGCCTGGGCGTGAGCACCAAGGAGCTGGACGGCCAGGAGCGGGGTCACTTCCTGTCCGCGGAGGACAGCACAGGAGCGCCAGCGCACATTTCTGATGAGACGTTGGACCCAAGCTCTGAGGAGAGTAGCCGTGTTGAAACCGAACAGGACGGGCCCATGGGGGCAGGCCCCTCAAATACGTGGGCAACAGGGGACCCGTCTGAGGCCGAAGCTCAGGAGGTGACGGAGGCCCCCGACAGCGGGGACCGATCTCCCTGTGAGTCTCAGAGGAGCCGAGGTGCATCGGGGTCAGGGGACGAGGGAGAAGTGTCACTTTGTTCCCATGTGGGCTTTCCCCAAGAGGTGGCTGCCACGGATCCGGCGACTTCTCTTGGATTACATCAGGAAATGAGCGATGACCGTCTCGACGCGTGTCCTCAAGACGCCGTCATCGTCGCGCGGGCTTCCGAGACGCCTCCGAGCTCAGGAGAACATGCGACCCCGTGCAGCTCCATGGGAACTTCTGCCGCCCGGCTGCCCAGCAGCAGTGCCACGCAAACACCGGACACGGAGCCTGGGAGCAGTCTCCTGGAATGCCAATCGGGGTTACGGGAATGTGATGATGGAGACTCACAAACCAATGCCCGCTGTCAGTTGCCTTGCTCGGATCCCGACAGTATGGCTCATAATGACAACGAGGGGAGTGACTCAAAAGAAGTCTTCAGAACAGATGACATCCCGAGTGATTATAGGGCCGTGGATACCAACGTGAAACTGCGGAAGAGAAAGGTAAGCTGTTTACTTCTGGCACAAAAATAACTAAAGTACAGACTGGAGCAGAGCACAGGGGGCTCTGGTTTTGAGAAATGGCTCTTTTTAAACTGGCCCGGAGTGTGTGTCGTTCGTGGAAAACATTTTCAGTCAACGAAGTGGTCTACACGTACCTTGATATGTGTGGGCACATCACTTCCTGTTTTTCTTCTTTTGAAAAGGAGCTTGGGCAAACCAAGATTGAAACAGCCGCGGACTCCCCTTCAGCCTCCGAAGATCCTTAACAGAACCCTGTTACTAACACAGGGAAAGGTTCCTAAATATCATACTAAAAATCTTCACCGTGACTTACACATAAGAACGTTCCAACGTTGCCTGACTTGTAGAGAACAGGTACGGTCCTTCGCATATAAAAATAAAAATATGAGGCAAATACTTTAATTCTAGAAATCTGCACACTTCCTGCACTTATGCCACACCCCGGGGGCCGTCTTGATGGCCGGGCGGTGGCATGGTCTCGTGCTTCAGGCCACCTCGACAGCTCTCTCTGCCCCCGCGTGGGGGGGCTGGTCCTGGGAGTGCCTGACGGACATGGGTGGAGTGCCCCCTGTCCTGGGATACGCCGCACACAGGTGGCAAGAAGCGCTCGGCTCGCCCTTCCACAGACGCTCCCCCCGAAGCAGGGGGGTTCGGTCAGCGCAGATGCAGGCCCTGAAAAGGGCCGTTGTGCCGCAGGCCATGGTCCTCGTGAATCCACGCACACACTACCGCGGTGTCAAGGCCCGGCCCTCTCCGCGAGGCCGCGCAGATCCGCGTACTGAGGCTCTTTCATTCCTCAGCGAAAGCTCTGAGGTGATTTATGGAAAAATGTCATCATTAAATAATTTGAACTTGTCTCACTTTACTGCAGAAGCATTCCAAGATTATTGAAATGTTTGTGCAGTGGGTGTGGGTTTTTTTTTTTTACTTTTAAGGGTGTATTTTAGGGGTACAAAGGTGAAATTAGGTTGAGAAGCCGGAGCACTGGAACATTTTAAATGATCTCCCTCCCTGTGAAACGTGTATTTCTCTTCCTCAGTGTTTGTGTTTACTCGGAAAACAACGGCGGTATTTTGCCTGAAGGAGAGTATATGATTTTGTTGTTTTAAAAGACTAGTCAGCAGGACGTTCTCAATGGTTTCTTCTGCAGCCTGAAACCCAGAAAAACAAATTATACAGTGCATGGAAAGTTGAAATGTTTAGAATAGGTTGTGAACATGCAGACGAGGCTGGGGAGGGCAGAGCAAAGGAGGGACGTCAAAGAAAAACAGTCGCAAATGAATTATCAGACAGGAAAGCAAACGATCTGCATCTCATCAGCTTCATTTGGTCTTGTGGGTGATGAAACGCAAACGTTTTGAGGCACACTCAGATACGTTTAGAAATGCGTATAATCAAGGAAAATTTGGGAAAATCTTTTTTAACCCTCACAAAGCGTAACATTGAATGAATGTTGCTTGTTTTCTCAAAAAAAAGGATTGGACATAAAAAATAAGAAGAATGGAAACATGATACGAGATTTACGGTCAAGTTTATAGTTAAGTAACAAAAATAAATTTCATGTTCAAGGAAAAATTGGCACATGCAGCTAATGAAAACTGCAGTGTCTTCCAAGACACTGTAGCTAAGGCAACAATCTATTTAACATCTGTAAAGAGCAACTTGCTTTCAATTTAACTAAATATGTACAGTATATAGGTATTCCCCTTACACTGACAATTTGTGTCTACATTATATTATATACAGTACTTATATACTTTATATATCGACACCCTATCTATATTGAGATTAATTGTTTATTTTCAGTGGGGAGAAATATTGCGGGAAATGCTATTATTGTTGTGCTTACAGCTTTGCATGAATACCTATCCAGAGCATCCTACATAGACATTAAAATAGAAATAGGATATAATAGGATATTATAATTCAAATGCACATCACAAATACCTTCACAGAGCATGACCACGTTAATGTGACTTCAGGAACAAGAACAACTGCTGCTGATGTTGACACAGTAACAAAAGGCAATTCAGTCTTACTTATGCTCTCACAAATAAGAAACAAACCTTTTTAAAGGGCTCTCAAAGCAAATCATGTATTTTAAAGTCACAAGCAAAGAGTGCAAATCAAATGACTTTGGTCAAACGCATTTGTTCAGTAAAACACATTTGCTGTGCAGTACAGTCTCAAATTGCAGGTGCTGCTGGGAATCCTGGAAGCACAAAGGTATTTAGGTCTATTGCCATATACAGTACGTATCGAGGGGGAAATTTCACTTCGTTTAAACAGGTATGAGAAATAAATAGGATTGGAAGCTTTTTATTCAGATAAAAGCACATCAATAAAAAGGTGGCATATTCCTCAGACTTTTCTTTACTGTACCTAAATAAGAAGAGGAGCAGCCAGTTGAATGAAACAAAGCAGGAGAATATACAGTTCAATGTTGAAACAAATGTAATCTGTAATTAACTCTCCAAGGAACTTGCAGCCAGAGCTACAGCTGTAGAACTGCTGACTAGAGCTTGAGCCACGACAATGACAAATCTAATAAATAACTTTGCTGGAATTAATTATCTCTTGACAATGGGACAAAACGAGATTAGGTTGAAACCCCCTCTTTCCTGTCTCAAAAAATATGGTCGAAAAACATTCACAAGCAGCTTGCTTTTCAGGGTATCTCATGAGAGATCCTCCTGTAAGAAATAGGTTTTTGGAAGCAAACCAAATGTGAAAAACATCCACTGCTCATGCAATGAAGTATTTATACAGTATTACATAGTTTGCAAGATGTGCCCAGGAAATACAATGAGAAACATTCTATTACAAGAGATAATCAAGCAAATGATCTCTGGACTCATTCCTTTTTCTAACGCAAGGGTGAGTATTACTTCCCAATAACTCATTGTTTCCAGGTTGTACATCATGTCTTATCAGGAGGGATGGGAAGCCAAGTTTAGATAGGAAAAATTATCTGGGAATATTAACAGCTGCTGAAAACTCTGAGGCTGAGAAATAGTGAGCTTGTTTTTTTTTAACATGTTTTTTTTACTGTACAGTACATCCTACTTCTCAAGCTTTTCATTCAGGTTTTTGTGAAATTAACAAGGCAGCATCAGCAGGCTGATCTGAGAGTTAGATTAATAACTGCCGTGTGTAGCGTTTTGCCATTATCTCTGTTAGTGCAAATTCAGCGTGTGCAAGCAATTTCTTACTAACGGGAGATAGAGAAGAAGATGCAAGAACCAGGTTCTTTTAAGGAGGCATCCGGGTCTCGAAAGTTGCCTTCTGAAAATCTAAATATAGAGTATCATAAGGAAATGTCATTTCTTTTCAGGATGGAACAAACCTTTAGCTGTTCCTTTGCAGCCTGCTCATGCTGACGCAGCTCCCTGCTCGAACGTCTTCTAGGATATAAGCTGTGTTTGTAGTTAGCGGTGCAAGTTAGTTATCCAAGACCTGCCTTTTCTAAATCTCTCTAAATGGACTGTCCCCTAGCATCCTGTTGCCCTACAGATGACCCTCTAGCTCCTGGTCATGCTCCAGTTTCTAATTAAAACTATTCTAGTTTAGTTCAGTGAAAACATATCAGCCAACGATCACCCAGTTTCTCTCCCATTGAAAGGATGGGAGCTACTGTACATCAGCCATTTCACAGTTAGCGTGTAGTTTCCCTTATTTTACATGACTCCTGGAAGAGATTTGACTATGACTAGGAATATGAATAACCTCTTGTTTCTTTGAGTGCAGTTTGTAGAATATCATCAGCTCCAGGAGATTAATCTTCAGTGGTTCTAGTACCTGTAACATGTAACATACCTATTACCTGTTCTATTAGGATTTATTACAGGAGTATCTTTCTTGCATAGAGTCTATTTCTTCCATGGTGAACTACCTTTCGCTGTCTAAATACTTTCCACATATTACTTCTTCAGTTACTGATTTTAAAAGAGCACAGCCTGCTGTTTGTACAGTAGCACAGAAATGGGGAATATCACTGCAGTGCAAACATTATACTTTCTGCAAACAGATCGAGACCATAAGACAATGGACTCACATAAGACAATGTGTGACACACGAAGATGAGAAATATCGGTAGCGATTATGCCAGTAATAAGAATATGCATGAGTGCCACAGTAGATAAAAAGCTTAATTTCCCTTCTTCCTCCTGCACTGTGTCAAGGGTGTGAAGCACTGGAGTGTTTGTGCTGTGTGTGCGCTCAGTCGGGATGCTGTTTGAATACTTTACAGCTGTCTTAGGTTACCTGTCTTGGGAAACCACAGAGCCCCTTTTACCTACTCAGAAACACCGGGCCTACCCAGTGTTAGCACACCAGCCAACAGGTATAACCCTACTGCAAGTCAGAAGCCATGTGGCAGATAAGTAATGATGTAATGGGGGCACTGACCTGCATTCCTGTGGTGTAATGGGGTGAATCACGGCCTTTGAGAGCCGCTGCGGAGTCTTGTGTCTGTGGCGAAAAGAGAGGAAGAAGCGCAAAGGAGGCAGACAGAGAGGAAATTCATGTTAGTTTAAAATAGGAAACGGGTGAGGAATGTAGCAGCCTAAAGAGAATTTAATATAAATACAAACGCGGGGTGTAATTAAATGATTCATCGTGGCATTTAAGCTGGCCTCCGCTACATTTTGGCTGTGCTTAACTGCTTTTGTTCAATTGAAACGCCACTGAAACGCGTTTGTTTTGTACAAAAGCACATTGGAAGGAGGAGATGGAAGGAAAATCTCACAGCATGCTTGTGAAAACTGCGTTATTAAAGCTCCAGTATTTCCATTACACAAAGTTACATAAACACATGCCTCGTTTGTCTTTACAAATCTGAAAGGAACTCCATTCACAGGGTAACCCACTGCTAACTGGAAAATAAATGTAAGCATTTTCACAAGAGATATTAAGTATGAGAACAGAAAGCCAAGCTGGTACCTATTTATTACAGGCGGACTTCAGTGTTGAAGAAAGACCTTCAAGGTCAGTATTCTTTCTGTTTCTGTGCGAAGAATATTCCGCTATTAAAAAAAAAACATCTAACAAATAAAGTCATTCAGAAGTAATGCAGCAGCTCACAATCAAGGGTGACGGTCTTGTGTAGGTGCAGAGAGCTCTGATGAGACCAGTCTAGCACAGTCCAACCCAATAACTCAATACTGGGTGATTAATCAGCCCAATGCATCATCTCAATGTGTTTCCTGGCTAAAGGCCACTAATGTTCCAGCTATATTCAGAGAATTATCCACAGACAGCACTGATGACTCTTGTGTCTTCTCTGCTGTCCCATATAAACATTATGCTGTAGGATATGACATTTAATATTGTGCATTTTAAAAACTGATAACATGTACTAACAGACATATATACTGTATAGTTTTTTTTCACATAAGCAGCTATTTTTTTTTACAACCTGTTGTTTCTTTAGTATAATTGTCAATGTCTGTCTTGTAAATCCCCCCCCCCGTACTCTAAAGCAATCAAACTTGCCAGGAAAGCACTTGGATTCTGTGTTTTTAGCAATTCAGCAGTGTGCCTCAGACTCACTGCTGTCACAATGCCGAAATGGGAACAGAAGAACGCAATGGGCAAATGTCTGCAGCTTGTTTGTAGCTTGTTTGGTTACATATAATAAACGGTTGCCTGAGATAGTTTTATCTTTTAATACTTGAAGGCTGTAGAGCCGCAATTTCAATCAATTTTCAGTCTGTATAGACCAGAAAAAAAAATTAAATTGTGAAAAAGCAGTTTCTTCTCTGTGAATAACAAAGTCTTCCACAAGGTCACAAAAATGTTGGCTTTGAAATACTAGAGGTTTTCAAACTCATTTTAGCTCCTAAAGTCTTCTAAAAGCCATTCAAGCCATCCTGTCCATTGGGTACTTAGTAGCTAATTGATCTGAGGCTCCTGAAAGTTGCCTTGATATCAGCTTCAACCACATAGCTGGGCAAGCTTGTGCCAGACTCCCACAGCCCTTTTGTGAAGACGTTCCCCTGTCCTCAGTTTTAAATGCTCTTCCACACACTTTGGTGTTGATTTCGTCAGGGCATTTGAGGATGAGAATCAGGTCCCACTCTACTCAACATTTAAAACATCCAGTTCTTCGGACCTGTCAGAAAATAGATGAATGGATAAAAATAGAAGTGCCTATCACTTTAATACATATTTATGCAACACAAAATAAAACATTACCATTTTGTTTTTTATGACAGCTTTTTGGGGGTGGAAATTTGTCCACACAAAACTACATAAAACAAAATAACTAATCTCATAAATATACAGTATCATAGCATGTAGTTATGTGTAAGTGCAGTCCAGAACTGGATTATATGTGGATACTTATGTGTTTTTTGTTCTGTATGTGAAATATTTATTCAAGTGCTAAGCAGACAAATAATAATAATCATAACTGCACGTACTTTGTAGGACACATTCATACATTTTGGCTCTGACAGTCACTTTTTAAGCTCTGAATGTATTGAACCTTTTTATTTAATTAATCCGTGAGAGCAATTTAAGTGATTTATAAATTGCTGCAAGCATTAGTTTATTCACACTTTAAGTGATCTGCTTAATCTCTGATTTAAAAAACACTTGTCCTAAACAGCCATTCATTTTTGCTTCGTTGACATTAACAGCTCTTAACTATGATAAGCGACAGCAGAGGAAAATGGTTCATTATTTAATATGCTCTATGCTCATAAAAAGAATAATGAAGCGTTCAACTTCCAATAATTCATTTATATAATTAAATGTATGACTTAAAAACAGAAGGAGATTTGCTATCAAACCCAAGCACATTACTTGCATTTTTGCAAACTCGCCACTTGAGGTCGCTGTAAGCCTTGCTATTGCAGACTCGGAAAAGCCGGAAAGATTTCCGTGGCTGTAGCTGCAGACCGTCAAAGCGTGTACTAGTCTGTTGTCTCGCAAGACTACATGACAA